AAGATAGATTAGTTAATAAGATAATATAGGAAAATTATACCTTATTGCCTTTTACTTATATAAGCTATATAAAGTAAAGCTTAATTATTTAATTTATAATAAGGAGTTCTTAATAATTATTAACTACTTTAAGGAGTTTAGATATTACTTAATAAGAAGTAAGTATTAAGTTAAGGTTTATATTAACTACTAGAATATTTTATATTTTATTATAACTTATAAACTTAATTAATAATAATTATATTATATAAAATACTTATATAAATTTAATTTTATAATTATTTACTATAAAGGATTTAAAAATAGAAAAGTAAATATAATTAGTTAATAACTAGATTATAATACTAGTATTATTAAAGTAAAAGAATAAGTATTAAAAAGGAATAAAAGAAGAGAATATTAATTTACTTAGAAAATATAGACCTTATATAACGGAATAGGTTTCAAACAGGTAAACTAGTCCATACTAGGTTTAATGTTTGCAGAGTCATAGGGCGTTATACTAAGCAGTTTGCGAAGTATCACGTCTCTTAATAGTAAATAGAGCGGGTTAGGCATATTTAGGTAAAGAAGTCTTATTAATAGCTAGTAAGCTAAGTTCTATGAAAGTGCTAATAAATGTGATCTATATACTAAAGGTGGCCTTATGGCTTAGTAGAGAATATAAGTAATCTAAGGGTTAGATCTATGGGGATCGGTCGTGATCTATAGTAATCCAGTCTTGGAGCGTCGTGATCCAAGTGATCTAAGGGAAGAGGATCGTTACTGGGAGAAGTGATCCTACGGTGATTGGTGAAAATTGTAGGGGCCACGTGACATAGACGCGGGGGTCATAACACCTTAGGATAGATATAAGTAAAGGTAACTAAGGAAATTCTAAGAGAATTATAAGAGTTTATTTAAGACTTTTATATATATTTATTATATAGATATTAAGGAGTTACTAAAACCTTAAAATAACTGCTATAATAAGGTTATTAAATAATATAAAAGGTAATAAAAAGAGTTATTAAATAATATAATATTTATATTAAAATAAAAGCATAATAATATAAACCTTATAAAATATTATAACTAATAAAAGTTATAAAATAATTATAAAGCTTAATTATAATAAACTTTATAACTAAATTATTATTATTTAAAGATCCTTTAAATAGAATCTTTTATAATAGTATTATAGTTATTATAAATAAATTAATAAAGTTTTTAATTTACTTACCTTATAAAGAGGCAATAGATATAGAAATTATAGCCTATATCTTTTATAATAAGGTAGTAAGGAAATAAGGATTACTAAAAGAAATCCTATTAAATAGAGGATTAATATTTGCCTTTAAATTCTAGTAATTACTTATAATACTTATAGGAGTTAATTACTAACTTATAATAGCTTTTAGATTATAAGTAAATAGTTAAATAAAATAAATAAATTAAGTACTAAAATAATATCTTTAATATTATATTAATTATAAATAAGATAACTAGGTTAAGAAGCTACTAAGCACTTAGCTAGCCTATAATATTACCTATAATAAAAGTATAAAACTTATATTATTTAATATAAATATTAAATTTATATTTAATATATATTATAATATTTAAGAACTTAAGAATATAAACTTAGTAATAATTATTATAAGTAATAAGCTAAGAGAAATATATAATAAACTTAAGACTAAACTAGAATTTATTAAGAAAAGGATATAGAGATACTATAACCTTAAAAGGTTAAAGGGACTAACCTTTAAGGAAGGAGATATAATTTACTTATTTATTAAAAATATTAAAATAGATTAATTAAGTTATAAACTAAATTATAAGTACTTAAGGCTAGTTAGGATTAAATAAAAGATAGGAGAAAATTAATATAAACTAGACTTACCCTTAAATATTAGATATTACCTAATTTATTATATCTTAATACTTAAATTAGCTATAGATATAATATATATAAAAACCGGCAATAAACTATAATAAATTATAAGACTAGAGGTATATAAAGTAAAGGAAATTAAAGATATATAAAGAATTAATAAATAAAAAATATATTTAATTAAATAGAAAAACTACTTAAAAAGCAAAAATATATAAAAACTAATAAAATACCTTATTAATATCTAGTAACTCTTAAAAAACTTTTACTAATAACCTTAAAGAATAAAGGATTAAAAATTAGGTTTTAGTTAATAATATTAGCACTACTAAAGGACTAAATATCTAAAACTGCTATATCCTCTTCTTAAGTAATAATATTACTTATAAAAGAATTTATACTATTAATAATAAATTAAATACCCTGCTTATATAATAAATACTTCTAATAATAAATATAAGATAATTTTATAATAGCCTTATTAACCTCTTATTAAGCCTTAAGAAGCTTTTCCTTAGCTTTTTCTTTTACCTATTTTAGATAATTAGACTTAGAATTTAAGTAAGGGACTAAAAGAGAAAATAGTTAGTAGATAATAATAATAATAAAAGGGAAAAATAATATATAATAAGTAATTGCAATACTAAAAGCATTATAAGATTAACCTTATTAAGTATATTTAAAGTAATAAGAAGAATACTTAATTATTTTATAATAAAGGCCTTTAGCCTTATAAAAGGAATAAGGCATAATATTAAAACTAAATTTTATAATTAAATCTACTAAATAAATATACTTTAAAGTCTTATAAGATTTTAACTAAAGATTTTATAATATAATAATTAGTAAGGTATATTAAGAAAATAATAAAGGAAGAGAGTTAGTATATATTAAAGCCTAATATAAAAATAAGGAAATATATAAGTCTTAAGGGCAAGACTTAATAAAGGGGAGAGATTATATTATAACTTATATAGCTATATTATATAGCCCTTATAATTTCTACTTATTATAAAAGGATTATTTCCCTTAATAATAATCCTCTTTTATTAAATTATTTAAATTATAATACTTTAAGATTAAATTACTATAAATTACTAATAATCCTTAGAGATTTAACCTTTAAATTATTATTATTCCTTACTAAGCTATTAGGCTATCTTAATATATAAAATATATTTATTAATACTTTTATAGAACTTAGCTTACTAGCTATTAATAAAGTATCTTTATATTAATAAGCCTAATATATATTACTTAATTATTAAGAGATATAATACTTTATAATGCTTAGTATTATACCTTATATAATTTATAAATATAAACCTAGTATGGACTAGTTTACCTGTTTAGAAACCCTAACTGTTATATATATTATACTAGTTAAATTAATAGCTAATATAATATATATTAAAACTAGTAATAAATTAAAAGAAACTATAAGATTAGAGATATATAAAGTAAAAGTAATTAAAGATATATAAGAAATTAATAAATAATAAATATATTTAATTAAATAAAAGAACTACTTAAAAAATAAAAATATATAAGAACTAATAAAATACCTTAAGAATATTTAATTACTTTTAAAGAACTTTTATTAATAATATTAAAAGGCAAAAAATAAAGTTAAAATCCCCTAAACTAAGAGAATCCTAATTAATACCTTTAAGATTTAGAAAATAAAGTATATTAAAAGCCTTATACTTATAATAACTTAACTCCTTAGCTAGCTTATTTTTTCTTTTAAGACCTTAAATATTATAATAAAACTTAAATATATAATACTCCTTTATCTTATTTTTAATTTTATAAATATAAAATAAATAATTAATAGCTATAGCTATATATACCTATAATATAATTAACTCTTTATAAAGTTTTAAAAGATTTTTATTAGCCTCCTTTTTATCCTTATTTAACTTCTTCTCTTAGGAAATTAGCTTCTTAATTAGAACTATTAATAAAACTTAAATAAATAGAAAAAGAAAAATAATATATAAGAACATATTACTCTAATATTATTTTTACAAGATTACCCTTAATAAATATACTTACTATAATATAAAGAATCTGCTATTATTAAGTATTTCTTTTAGAATTTAAAATAATAAGAATATAATATATTAATAAGTTTATATAATAGCTTAATACTTTTAATTAAATGTTTATATTTTTTAGTTTTTTAATTAATAGATTTTAAAATATAATTAGATATCTTATTAATAATATATACTAATAGAAAAATATTTAAAGATATAAGTTTAAACTAACTAAATAATAAATAAACTAGGCCTACTTTAAGATCTTAAGGATAAGACCTAATAAAGGGGAGAGATTATAGTATAACCTTAGTAGTTATATTATACATATCTTATAAAAACTTATATAAGGTATTAGCCTCTTAATAGTTATAAATTAATTAGACCTAAATTACCTTATAAGTAGGATTATAATACTTTAAGAATTATTATAATCTAGGATTATTATAATTTAACTGCCTTAGTAATCCTTTTAGATTACTTTTAATATATAAATTATATTTATTAGTATTTTTATAGATTTAGCTTACTAGCTATTAGTAAGATTTCTTTATATAAATAAGCCTAATATATATTACTTAAATATTAAGAGATATAATACCTAACTTACTTAGTCTAAAAAACGCCTTATGTAATCTATAAATATAAACCTAGTATAAACTAGTTTCCCTGTTTGAAACTACCTTTATTATATTAATAAATTAATTAAATATTATTATATTATTAATATAAATAGGGGGTTTTATAAGGTATATAATAATTAAAAGAAAATATTAAATATTATAATAAAACTACTAGGGTTATAATATTATATTACTTATAAAAGCTTTTATTATTATATAAATTTACTTTTATCTTTAATTAGAGTTTATAAATATATTTATTAATTAATTTATAATAATTTATTTAGTAGTTTAGCTTTAAAATATTAGAAGTTATAGCTATTAATACCCTGCTTATACTATTTATTATATTAACAGGAATAGGGTGGGGCGGGGCACGCGAGGCTTATAAGCTCTTAAGAGATAAACCAGTAGCTAAGTTGTTAATAGGGTAATGTTAATGGTTCTGCGAACTACCAGAGCGTGCACGGATAAAAAGGATGTATTACAACGCATTTCGTGGGCCATGATGTGTGTATTGCGTTGCAATGTTCACTGCAATCATTGTAGTAGGGGTTGGTATACACACTATTGAACTCCACAATTGGGGGGTTATTATGGTATCATTTTTTGCGGAGAAATTGACCTTCATTCGGTTGAGAAATCTATGATTGAAGTTACGTGGTTGATAATGCGCCCTGGGGGCGTACAGAGACTTTTAACACGGCATGTACTGCACCTAATTAAATCGTCTCATCCCAGCGCCTCCTTAAATTATCTATTAAAATAGCCTCCTCGCCAGGCCTGAATTGCAATCTCCACAACCCCGGCCCCTGGCGCCAAAATACCTCCACAATGCCGCCCGGCCCAACTGCTATAGCGGCCGGCTCATCGTGTGAACGCAGGGATCCCCTGTACGTGGTGATATCCGCAACGAGTTCGACATGACGATGGTGCAGGTCTGCTTCGCAAACGCGGTTGCTAGCGTCGAGGAAGTACATGAGGTGATCTTGCGGGGGAGGGGCCATGCATGAACACCGTATCCGGAAATCTGTGACTTGGGCTGGTATGGTGACGGGTTGCTGGGGGTCGAGGGAGAGGAACAGGGGGTATCGCGCCGATGTTAGGCCCGTTATCGCGGCGACTTGGAGGCCGTGGTGGAATTGGATTGAGGTGAGACCTTGGTCATCCTGCCGCCTATTCGTCAGCGTAACTATTCTTCGGGCCAGGGGCAGCGTAGGCTTACGTTTGGCATTTTGCAACAGGGTAGCCGGAACGGACCCTTCGCCTCTCTTTCGCAAGTCCAAAGGGCCGTGTGAATACTTCCATCCTCGCTCGACTGATGCTTGTCCCTCATTTGGGTCGCAACTATAAGATATCTCCCATCGGCCGTGAAATTACAGGCTTCCGACGCAACAGTCATGCCATCAAAAGAGCTGGGTCCGCGAATCGAGATGGTGACGGCCCAGTCGAAGTCCACCTTGTGCTCCGCCAGGCGAACAAGCAGAACCCGTGCTGCGAGGCCAACAGCAACAAACGAGTTGCATCGAGAAATTGCCAAGCACAGCGGCGTCATGTCCTGAAGCGGCAGCACTGCCGATCTCTCAGCCAGCCCTGAATGGTCCAATACGACTAGGAACTTGCCCGTAGCGCCCTGCGATACGATGGCAGCTATCATTCCGCAACCCTCGGCCACAAAGAGCGTGCTTCCGGGGGTTGCTTGTCCGCCTTCTCCTTGGCGGAGAATGGGGATGAGGTCAATGAGCCTTCCGCTGTCGCCTTGGGCATTGAGACGAGCTATGACGAGGCTGTTTTTTTCCCAGAGGAGGATAGATACCCCGTCGGAGGAGAAGCAAAAGGAAAGATATCTGATATCACCGCTGTTGCCCATCGAGACGATTGACGACGCGGCGTCAGGCTTCGGTCTTTTGAATCGTGTAAGAAACGACCACCGATGCGATCTTGGCGAGACCTGTACAGCAGAACTGTTGACATCGCGGTCGGATGAGAGAGGCACATCATTGGCGGGTCGACGGACATGACACGGCGCGTAGTTTGCTATGGTCGGGTCGACGGGAATAGGCAGCGAGGATTCTGTTTGTGGCGTCAGAACCTGTCTCGAGGTATGAGGTGGTATCGGCGGCTCAGACTCGGATCTCAGGTCAAACGAGCGGAGGGATAGTCTGGTCGTTTTGGCGCCTGGAGACGAGCGCGAGGGAGGAAGCGTCGAGTGAATACCGACTGGGACTTCGGCAGGGAGCTCGGGAATGTGAGGATGAGGAAGTTCTTGGGGGGTCGGTTGCCCGCTCCTCGAATCGAGTGATAGTGGTAGCCTGCGGACGGTATGGATTCGCGAACCACACTTTGGGCAGAGAGCGATATTCTCGACGGCGAAGTTGAAGAGACTAGACTGGCGGCAAGAGGGGTCAGCGGAGAAGGACACAATTGCCAGAGTTCCAGTGCAGAGCGAAACTGATGGAATCGCATATCAAAGGAACCTGGACGAGCTGGCCTACATCTGAAGGGGACTGGGTCAACTTGGTCAACGGCGGCCACCCAGGCTCAATCAAGTGGAGGTAGGGGCAGTCGACCATGAGGAACGCCTCAGACCAGAAGGGAATGGGCCCGCTTTCGAAAGCTGCCACCGGTACTGGCCCATGTCTGGACATGGTCTGCTCTCTGCCCTTTGCCCTTTGCCCTTTGCCCTTTGCCCTTTGCTTCGACTGCAAGAAACGGTGCAACATTTGCTGGGCCAGATGCAAGAGCGGCGGTCCACGGACGGGAACCTACCCATTTGACAGTGTTCCCAAATGCCAGGAAAGGGGACTTGACCTTCTGCCGCCGGGTGGGGGCTCTCCGGCACTACGTAATTAGTAGTTTTTGATTTGGAGGTGAGATGACAAAAGAGCAAATCTGTAATATGCAATCTGCACAGATGTCCATTCCAAAAGTTTTGTAGTCATACATTGCTTTTCCTGCCAGGAAAGTTACCACGTTATGTACATCTGATAGATCAACCAGCTGTAAGAGGCTCTAAATTAGCGCTTATACCACTTATTAAGCCACCCTCTCTCGTCGAGTAGGGCGGGTTGAAACCTCTGCTTGTTCAAGCGCAGCCCCAAGCTATCGACGCCAAAGGCCGAAATGGCTTGGGCTATTTTTAACAGGCTGAGACTTCCATCACATAACTGGCCCGCTGGTGTGCACGCCGCTCGCTGCGCAGCCTCAGGTGCCGCTAGTCAATCCAAACTTTGTCCCCTGGCTGGAAACACTGGGGCGGGCATTCAAAGCCCCCATGTGCCGGCGCCGGATAATAAGAACAGGATCCCAAGGACATCACCCAGGAGCTCACCGACTGGTGTCTGGGTACTGCTCTCTTCCATGCCGGCCCATCTCGACTCGAAGTTGACTAGCAGCATTTTGCAGTCCTTCTTTTAGCTTTTTATTTTGTATATTTGTTTTGCACAACCAAACAAAAATGGACCAAGTCGGTAGTGCCAAGGAATTTCCTTCCCAAAACATCATCTCAAGAAGGCCCGTCGGGATTGCCATGTCCAGTTTGGTATCACCGGGCACTCCATCTTATCCTCCATCCACCTATCCGCCGTCGATTCATCCCGCGTCTCCCGAACAAGACAATGCGAGCCAGAGTCACGGTGGACACTGCATCACCTTACTACGAACTCCTGAGCGATTAGGACCCTATAGTCAACCCTACTCACTCGAGGATGGTGGAAATGCTGCCATCCAGCCGGGGAATCAGTTGAGGTTGGTCTCCTGACATCTACTAACCCCCGTTGTCTCCAAGTCTGATCCTTTCAACTCAGCGCCGAACTGACGGAGCGGCATGTAAACATGATGGCCTTCTCGCAATGTGTCGGCATCGGGCTCTTCCTCCAGGCCGGCAGGGTCATATACCTCGCCGGACCAGGCCTTGGTGCCATCGCGTACATTGTCACCGGGACCGTTCTGTGGTCATGTGCTGCATGCCTTGGCGAGATGACGGCCCTGTTTCCCGTCAAGGGCCCCATCATCGAATTTCCTCGTCGATTTCTGGACGAGTCTCTGGGATATACTGCGGGGTGGATGACATGGTAAGTTGATAAATTCATACAAGTCACCTTAGGCATTGGTGAAGTAACCCTCAAACACTGACGCCAATGACAGGTTTTCCTGGATTGTGCTTGTAGCCGCCGAGCTTGTGGCTATAACTCACATTTTCCAGTTCCGATATCCTCAAGAGTTCCTCCAAGCAGCCAGATACCCTGATCCCACACTCGAATTCTATCCCAGCGCGTCGCCCGCCGTCTACGTTCTTTGCTTCTTTGTCATCATGTTGACTTTCAACATGCTCCCAGTACGGTGGTTTGGCCGACTGGAGTACATCTTCGGCACTATCAAGATGCTCTTCATCATCGCCCTTATCCTTTTCAACGTCATTATCCATATTCAACAGCCTGTCAAGCGTGGAGCCTTCTGGACCTACAATGAGCCCTACTCGTTCGCTGCCCGAAATATGACCCTCCCCAACGAGGATATAGTCCAGGGAGATGCCGGCCGCCTCCTCGGTGTTTGGGAAGCTATGACGACCTGCCTCTTCGGCATGATCGGCTTTGAAACCATTGCTATCACGGCAGCTGAGAACAAGCATCTTCGAACGGAAGAAACCGTGAAGATTGGCACCCGCAAAATCAGCCTCCGCATTATAACCCTCTACACGCTCGCGACCTTCACCGTCGGTCTTAACGTCCCCTACACGTATCCCACCATCGTGGACAACGCCGTCATCTCCTTTGGCTTCGGCCAAAACTCAGCCTTTGTCGCCTCTCCAGTAATTAACCGACTGAGGGTCTGGCCGTACATCGTCAACGACTTCATCATTTTTTCAGCCACCACGGCGGGGGCCAATGGACTGTACAACGCGTCGCGGACGCTGCATGCGCTGGCCAGCATCCATGAGGTTTGGCCGAATTGGGGACCCGTACAGGCTCTTCGTCGGAGGCTCGAAAGGACGAACTATGGGGTGCCCCATGCAGCCGTGGTTCTCAGTGCGTGCTTTGGACTCATGGGATTCCTAGCGTGTAACCCGGATTCGCAGAAGATTCTAGGTCGGATGGTTCGGTGTTGTGTTGTCTCCATGATGATTACGTATGGGCTCGTGGCAGCTAGTTTCATCGAGTTCTACAAGAGGTGAGTACAACTGAAAGTTTCCAAGCAGCGCGCTTTCTAAATACGATATTAGTGTGAATGGTGCCGCAGCCGGTCAGACCATGGAAGTGGTCGACATCTATAATCCATTAGTCAGGCAGCTCTACGACCGCAGCAATCCGCGATATCCATACAGGTCACACGGCCAGTGCCTCCGGGCATACTATGCGGTACTCGCATGCAGCCTCTTCGTCATCTTCAACGGGTGGAGGACCTTTATCAGCCCTGTAAACATTAAAGACTTCTTCGGGTGCTACATTGCCGTGGGTTGCCTCCTTCCCAGTTAGCATCAGTCCCTCTTTGACGCAATGCTGACAGATTCTTATCAGATCCTTCTGATGGCTATGATATCGATCATGTATCAAATCAAATTCTGGGGTTGGGACCCCCGCAAGTGGAGGAGAAGGGTGTCGGATAACCGACTTGAAAGGCCTCAGCCAATGACGGCCGACTCGGTCCCCCGGCGAGGACAGCTGGCATTGGTCGCCGCCGGTGAGATGGCCGATGGTCCTAGGCGCGTCGAGAATATTAGGAGGTTTGGAAAGTGGTTACTTGTCTGGTTAAAGTAGGCGATTATTTGAGACAACGGATATCTTACGGAAGTGTTGTCAGTCTGAGTAGCAGGTTACAACTTGTCGTTTATATAATTCGTAAAGGGAAACAAAACATTTCAACCTTCCATATAACGGGATTTACTTTCCTTGCCTCTAGGACTGGCGGAAGCTGATACTAGAGAGTAGGTCGAACACAAGTCGACGCAAGTTGACGTTGTATTGGAGTTGAAGAATTAAAGGCCTGGTAGAGCGAGACAAGATGTGATGAGAGATTTCGGTCAAAGTCTTAGATCTCTGACGAGAGGTGCTTGGGGAGAAGCACCCCGATACGATCAGGAGCATGGCGGACCTCGCATTGACGTCCCATGCGAAGGGCCGATACTCCAGGGGGGAATCAGCACTTAGAAATTCCAGATAACAGCACGAACTTCTGGTTTTGTATAGCTTAATTGGGTACCTGTATGCCTGGATATGTTGAAAATACATTTTTTAGTCTCAAATCTGCGTTTCTGTTGTATTACGAGGGTTAGAATGAATGACCTTAAGGGCGGTTAGAGAATGAATAGAAGGCCGTTGTGCATTACATTTCCCTATTTTAGACTAGAAAGCCTTTAGTATAAGCATTATATTTTCCTTATCAGGTTAGCCCATTCTCACGGCCCAAAAATCTTAACGTCTTATGCAAAATTAGCAAATTTCACTAGCAATATAAAGCAATAATGGAGTTCTGATTTATGGACGAATATGACCCCGTTGCGCTGCGTCGATATTGCCTGCAAGCGTAATGCACCTAGAGATGACGGCAGCGGCAAAAAGCGAAATAGTTATATATTGAGACCCCAAATTCATCAGGCCGAGTCGTCTCAGATAGTCGACTCTGCTGCAGATACAGATGATGTGCAGACGAGACTAGGTAATAATTTGCAGGCCGATACTGGGAAATTCGGACCTGATACAATGGAACTTCCTATAACCTCTAGTTAGGAAGATGATAATCTAAGCATAATTGATATCGGATTAGTCTATTATGACGAGGAGATAGTCGACGCTTATAGTAGCGAGGAGCGCGAAGATCAGATAGAGTCTAGGAGTCTAGATGCCTTTGCTGGAATACTAGTCTATTATTAACACTGGGGGACGTTATTATCTGTTGAGTGTATCGGTATAGTACTTTGTGTTACCTAATAGCGCTACTCTAAACAGACCTATTATAAGGGTCGTAAGATACCTGGTAAATGAGTAAATATACCCTGTTTATATGTCTGGCAATTCTTGTATTTTTAAAATGTATAAACTCTAAAACTTATATTACCTGATTGTAGAGATATCAGTTAGGTGCTAGTATATACTCTAGGTTTTTAGCTTTATCTTATTGTTATTGATATAATATATGTCGCGAAGCAACAACTAATTAATGCAGATAGGGAACAAAAGAATTCGCGTAAATAGCAACTAGCATTTCTGATATCCTAGGGCGACTTACTCTTGAAGTTATACCTGGTATATGGATAAATAATTCTTCCTTCGAAATTGCATCTCTTAGCACCAGCCATCTTAATTCCCTCCCCTTCTATCTCTGCACCTAATACGACATTAGTCCTTTAACTCTTTATGATATCTTCCTCTAACCTTATAATATCATCCTTCCCTCTTTGATCTTCCCTTATTCCTCCTCTTATTAACTTATTCTTTAAAAAAGCACCTATATCTAAAAAGAGGCAGTAACTTGCGCTATAGACTATTATAAAATTCCAACTTATACCTATTAAATAAGCGTATTAAGCCTCCTTTACTAGAATAACCAGGGACTATAGAAGGGATCTGCCTGGCTCTTGCAGTTTACTGAAGGCTTTGTGGATTGCCGGTTATCGAAGCTGTTCCTCCTTTTGGACATAGGCTTGGTCTGGTAAGTTCCCTCTGGTGGATGTACTAATCGTAGAAATGTTGTACTTAACATGCCTGAAAGAATTATTGCTTGATTTATATTATATTATGAAAGCTGTTATAAGGTGGCAGGAGGATAATATAATGTAATTCTTGATAAAGCCGGATTTAAGATTAAGCGCTATTAAACTTAATATGAGGTTTAATAGGGAGGCTGCTTTCTTTAAGCTAGGTATGCCTATTAAGCTTAAGGGGTTAGATATTATTATAAATGCCATAGTTTAAGTTTATACTTTATTTATTATTTCTCTTAAGATTATTAAGAACTTAACTATTCCTATAGTAATAGGAGAGGCATTTAAGTCTATTGCTCTTAGTCTTAACTTTATATTAAAGTATCTTACTATTATTATCTATACTGCTGCTATTAAGCTATTATCTCTATTTAAAATATCCTTTAAAGTATTCCTTAATACTATCTATAATCTATCTAAGGCTACTGCCTTCTCTATTTATATTAAAGCTTATAACATGCCTCCTAAGCTATAATACATTAGTAATATATCTAGTTAAGGTCTCTTTAAGTCCTATAGCACCTAATTCTATATTACCAGTTTATACAGCGGTATTAGAGGTAAACTTATTAAGCCTTTAGGCAATATAGCCGCACCACCATTATACAATAAAACCACATCCTGTCCACCGCCTCTGCCTCCCTTAATTAAATTTCCTAGTAAAAAACATCCTTGCTAAGATACTAAAACTAAATTCGATGATATTACCCTTCTCTAGGCCAAACTCCGCGCTATTAAGGAAGTATAAAGCTGAGTTGAAGCCTTGGAGACTAAGAACGAGAAGCTAAAATAGCAAAAATAAGGAACTAGTCGAAGGTATAGATAAGCTCTAAGAGCAATATGACGCGCTAAAACATCGTTTTGTGGCGCTTAATTTGAAGAATAAGGAGTTTATTAATATATATAACTGCTTATTCTTAGAATTACATAAAGATATAGATAGGGTTGAGGGGGCTGTTAATTTTATCCAGGAGGGACAAGTTCGTGAAGAATTGCTTAAGGTGATCAAGAACGTTATTATCAAGGAGATTATGACGCGGCTGGCGAACAGGTAAGCCCTGTTGCCGTCGTTTCTAAACTCATCATTCACCTCAGGCTATAGGACAAGTTTATCGAGGCTCTTGATCCCTACCACAGCGGTGCCTGTCTTAGACCGCCAATTAAGGGACACTATCAACCGTGTTAAAGATATAACAGCCCTTGCACACGCGTCGCTTCAGCCGTCGCTAATATACCCCAAGATAAGCGACTCATCGCTTTGCCCCCAGCACCCTTCACTCCAATCAGTCTCATTGCCCTGATTGCTATCGGCACCGTCTCCCAACCTGTCGTCGTCTTAACCAAGTCGACCATCCGATTAATCAGCGCTTTTGGCATTAACCAACAGTTGGCGCTCATTCTCGTTTTGACTGATGCCGAACCTTGACTTCTAGAAGGGACTCACTCTTGGTGATGACGTGAAGCTTGGAAACTGAATGAAGCTAAGTTACACTGGTTGGCTGGCTGGGTATAATGCCTTGCTATATTATCGGTCATTTAGTGACTGCATTCTTAATAATGCCATTGTCGGCAGCACAAGCACAAGGGCTCAACGTACCTCCCCTAGTCCTACAGTCCAAAATCAATTGTTGTACAATTAATTTAAATGTTGACTGGGTCGCCACCCTGAACGTTAGTCAGCAGCCTCCTGGACGGGGGGCACTCATACCCGCACAACCGGCTGTGCGTTTAGTATCACGTGTTTTTCGCACAACCAGTTATGCGGATAAGGCCACATAAGCTTCGATAGTCAAATCTATATAACTAGGAGACTATTAGTTAATTTATCTTCTTATTATATTTATATTACTAATAAAGTAATTACTAACTTTCTATTTTATAATTTAACTTTATTTATATAATTAGTATTTAAATAAGTAATATTAAGCTCTTAGTCCCTTTTATTATTAATAAATTAATAAGATAGTAGCCTAATAATATTCTTCCCTTAAAGGTATTATATTTATTATAAGAAGCCCTTCTTATAGATATTAATAAGTAAGTAAAGGCTTAAGGATATGCCTTTATAATAAGGCATATAATATATATAATAAATAGAAGACTATATATATACTTTAGCTATAACTATAGTAAAGGTAAATATATACTAATTCCTAATTCTAAGAGGAAAAGGAAGTATACTACTTAATATATAAGGTGCAAGTTCTCTATAATAGGAAAAGAAAGCCTTTATAAGAGTAAATAAAGTCTTTAATATTATCCTAATCCCTCCTACTCTTATTATAATTATAAGCTTATTATTAGAAGTAGTATTATATATATAACTTACTAAAAGCTTTTTAATAAAGATATCCTTATAGTTAAAAAGCTTACTCTTACTAGTATTAAATAATACTAAATTAAGACTTACTTACTGCAAAATATAAAGGTATTATTTATTAACTTAAATCTTATAAACTGTATTTCTTAAGTAAAGCAAGATCTTACTAATAAATAGAGCTATATAATTACTTTACTTTAATATCTCGATTTATAGGGCTTTTAGAATTATTACTTTATTAAAAAGGACTCTTAACTGCAGTTAGTTATATTTACTTATCTAAAATTACTTTAATTTACTAGGTTATACCTTAAGGTACTTATAGTTAATTATACCTATAAGATTAATAAGTATAAAATGCCTCTCCTTAATATAGTTAGTATTAATACTATAGGGAGCACCTTTTATATTATATTTATATATCTTAGTAATAAGGAAGAGGAGGACTTTACCTAGGCTCTTAAGGCATTATAAGATTTATATAATACTAATAATATTCCTTATCTTTTAGTTATACTAACTAATTAATGCCTTATTTATATAAATACTATTATATCCCTTTTTTACTTTCTAGTATTAAAGGTTATACTCTGCCTTTAATATATTAATAAAGTAGTCTTAACCTTCTATATAAGTAGCTTTATAAAGGGCAAGGATAATAAAAAGGGATAAGAGGTATAAAAGGAATTCTATAATAGTTAGTATATACTTATAGCCTTAAAGTTATAGGCTATATATAATAAGAGACTAAAGGCCTTTTTACTTTAATATACTTATTTATATCTAAAGGAGGTAGATTACCTTCTCTTAACCTAGCTAAACCCTTATAAGGGTAAGTTTATTAAGGTATTTATAAATAAGTATTTATATTTAAATTAATTTATTATATCTTAAGTAAAAGGTATTTATTCCTTACTTAAATCTTATTTAAAAAGCTTTAAGGCTAACCTCTTTAAGGCTTTTTAAATTATTAAGCTAGTAATTATAAACTAGCTAACTATATTAAAATTTATATAGGCTCTTAAATAAGTAATAAGACCTACTTAATATACTTAAATATTATTAGGAGCTTTATATAGCCAAGTCTGCAGTTAGATATCTTATAAGGCATTAATTATAGTTAATCTATAGCAAGAATAGATAGGAGAGAGTCTCCCTTAATATACTAGGAGTTTCTTAAAGACTATAGGTATACCTTATATTTATATCTTTATGCTATTAATTTAAGGAAATAAGCCCTTATTAATAAGCTATTTCTATTTATATTAGTATTTTTAGTAATTTAAGATACTGCTACTAATATTTAAGCCTTATAAGGTTAATAATTACTATATAGCCTTAAAGTTATAGCTAGTATTAAGTATATAATAAGATTTATATATATTTAAAGGAGTTAAAAAGGCATTATTTCCCTTAATGCCTAGGAAGCTATAGACCTGCTTTTAATATTATAAATAAGGTTATAATAAAAACTTAAGGCTATACCTTAAGAAGTATATTAAAATAGCAGTAAAGCTTAATAATATAAAGAGAGAATAATTTAAAGGTGAAGAGCAACAACAAAGAAAAGACTGCACAAGACGATATCTTCCAATACTTCTTAACTGCAAGCTAAGTATAGACTGCCAGTTAGGTTTAATTAAGATAGGGTCTTCATTATTAGATAGAGAATCAAACAATTAGTTTAATAGTATTAAATATAAAGAAAAAAAAAAGAATAAGAATTAAGTCTAAAGAAGCCTCTTAAAAAGCATAAGGAAAGTCTTTAGTCTTAAAGGGATATTACCCTTTTATACCTTATTACTGTAGATATCTATCTGGCCCCTACTAATAAAGCTTAGACCTCTTACCCTAGAATGCTTGCTATAACCGTTATATAGGTCCTTATATAGTTTCGATATATGCCCTTATACTTAAGAAACCACACTAAGCAAGCATTCTATATTAAGCAATTATATATATATAAGGTCCCTACTTCTATAGCTTTTAGCTTCTATATTAAGTAATTAATTAATCTTATACTAAATAAACATTCCTAGCTAAGTATAAGCCTCCCTAGTCCTATTATAATATTTAATCCTTAACTACTTACTTATTAATCCTCCTTCTTCTAGTTCCTCTTCTCTATTTATTCCTTTTTAGATATTCTAGTAATAGGCTGAGGGCAAAAGGCATTAACTATAGAATTCTAAGCATTATCTTACTAATTAGGACTTATTAGTCTAGCTAAGATAAATAAGGCCTAGGTCTTTAAAGTCAGGAGATATATAAATTTAGGTTTACTAACTATAGGCAAGCCCTATTAAGCAGGCTTAATAGTTATTTCCTTTATATAAGTCTCTAGGTCTTATACTATCTATTTAGCTACTTGCTTATCTGGCGCAAGAACCTGATTCTTATATATATAGAAAGTGCCTTTAATATTAGGAGGAATGTTAGTTCTGATAATAACTAGGGCATTGCTAACTCTAGAGTTTAACTAATCCTTTAGCTTTGAACTAGGAAATAAACTAGTAATCTTAAGCTTGGCTAGAGGAGTTGCTCTAATAGATTAAGGATTAGCAGGGGGGTTTTTTAGAGTTTTTAGAGTTTTTAGCTTTAAGGTCTTTAGAGTAGCTAGAGGTGGTAATATTAAATGCTTTGGTTAGATAATAAGTAAGACTTAGTATAAAGGTAGTTCTAATTAATTACTTAAATTAATTACTATTAGTAATCCTGCTTATAATATAACCTTACTATTATTAGGTATTAATTTATAGACTGCTATACTAAGGGCACTTAACCTCTTAGCCTAGGGGTCTCTTATCCTTATTAGCATTATCCTTAGGCTCTCTTTATATAGGCTCTCTTTCCTCTAGGTTATAATGCCCTAGGTTATAAAAGATCCTGCCTTCTTAAGTTTATATTGCCCTTAGAATCCGGTCTCTTAACTAAGCCTTATAATAAAGATATACCATCCACAACCCCTCTTTCGGCATAACCCCTCTTTCGGCAAGCAAAATAAAAAAGCCACCACCAAAAATCAACAACTTCACTTACACAGAACTTGACCGAATTGATAGAAATCCGTGAAATTTTTCGTTTCATAAATCATAAATAGGGTTTATCTATTGTACTCTGGTTTTTTTCGCCACCCGCCGCGACCGCCTGGGTGGTTGGTGGGGTATGTTTTCCTCTCTGACTTCGATGACAGAACCAGCCTCCGATTCTGACTCTTGCTCGCTTGAAGAGACAAATTCCACCCCAACAGGCATATAACGAGTCGCCCCTTCTGGTATGCACTCTTTACTAGCTAGAGTCTCTCCAAGAGTCATAAAACGTTTGTTAGGATTCGGCACCGCCTTCCTCTTCTTCCCTCTTTTCAGCCGAGCCAATTCTTCCTCTAGGCTGGCAATCCTCTGCGTATGCGCCGCTACTGTCTGCTGTTGAGCTTCAAAGCCCTTGGCTATCACGTTATACCGTCTCCGCGTCTTTGGTGTTTTGTTCAACCCAAGGTCACGAATTTGACGGCTCGTCTGTGGCGTATCGTCCGAGCCAAGATAAGGCCTGGGTTCAGGAGTCACTCTTGGGTTGCCGTTTGGCCCATCTTGTTGGATTTCAGGGTGCCGTAACGCTTTCGCACGTGAAATTGGCCAGTTCCCAGTGACCCTCCAGCCAGACAGTATGTTCTTCTTGGTCATTCCAACTCGGCGAGCCTTGGCGTAGGCCCTGATGAAATTGACCTTGTCCATTGGAGCGGAATCAGTCAACGAAGCGAACTTTTCCAACTCTCGTCGATATGCAGCCTTCGACGCATTAAATACTCCATTGTCCAGTGGCTGGAGTCCATGAGAGCAGTGTGCTGGTAGATAGCAGCAATAAACGTTGTTCAAAAAGCACGTGGCCATCCATTCATCCTTCCATCACTCAGCACTGATCTTGAGGTGGGGAAAATAGTGAACATACTGTTGCATGGCTTCCATGACCATCTAAAATGATCAGTCTCGCATCAGAGTCGTCGGCAGGCGTAGTCTGGGGCAGATAAACTCTTTCAAGCCATTCAATGCCTATGTGGTCATCAGTCCACCCGTTGGGCGATGTTATATAATACCAGTCTGCTATCTGCT